TTCGAGCGACTACAGCTCTGCGTGGAACTACAGTTCCTAGGATTCAACGGGGCAGAACCAGCCAGGGATGGCCCTCCCGAGCTCAGGATTTGGAAAATGCCCTTTGCTTCCAGAGGAAGTTCTCAGCAGGGCGTCCCGCCTCTCTCCACTGCTGGCTGGGCCTGCACCCTGGGCAGGCTCCGGCGGGCGCTTGCCTCCGGATCATGCCACCCAGCCCCAGTCCAGCCCCTCTCGGCACCGCTTTGCACTCCGTCTTGGCCATGTGATCAAAGGGGCTGCCCTTTGGGGAACCAAGGCTTCGTCTCCCCCCCCTTTCCTGGCAGAGGGAGACCCCCAGGTGACGGCTGCAGCGCCCCTCCTGCCGGGCATTTGTTTGCCAGCCCTTGTATTCGCCAGCTCCAGGCAGGTCCCCCCGAGTCTTGGCTGGGGGGCAGATGGAAATCAAGCAGGGAGCCTGACCGGAAGGCGGGGAGGCGTGTAATGGAGGCGTGTAATTGAGCCTCGCTCGCGTGGCATCCCGTGGTCAGGAGATCTGGACGAGCTCGTGGGTGGCAACGGCCCACCAGGCAGGGAGGTGCAGATGTGGGGGTAAGTCAGCTTGGGCTTGTGCCACGAGCGAACCCCACACTGGAGCCAGCTCGTCGTGTGGGGGGAGGCGAGACTCGGCCCTCCTCCTCTGGCGCCCTGTGGCCAGCCATCCCACTGGCCGGACTGCGGTTGGGCCGGGCTGCTTGGGCGAAGCATACCCACGGGGTCTTGTAACCCGGAGGGTGGGGGCGGTTCCTGGATTCTCTCGTGGGTTCCCTCAAAGGGGCTAGCCAGAAAAATGGAAAAAACGAATTCGGCCTGGAAAGCCTTGGGAAGAACGGCTCACCTTGCGGTCCAGTTAAGGTGACCTCTGGACGGCCCCCCCCTTGCCCCGAAGAGGGAAACGGCTGCTTTCAGTGGGCCAGGAAAACGGGCAGCCGTCGGCACAGGGCTCCCCGGGGCATAAGGCGCTGCTCGGATTGGGCCTGGCTCCCTGCATCTCCAGGGGAGGCCGGGCAGGGTTTGCGGAGCTGGGTGAGGCTCGCCCGGTCAGAGGGGGGCAGACTGCCCAGGGAGGGGCCGCACCGGCATGCCTTGCCCGGCTGGCCGTGCGGAGCTGCATAGGAGAGGAGCGAAGCAGCCCCAGCGCCAGGCGGGAAGCTCGGCTTGGCCAAAGCCCGTCTGCGCGTCACAAGCGCCCGCTTCCTGGCCGGGGAGGGCCCTCCTCCCACGCGGGCGAGGCCGGGGCGCCCCCGGCTTCCCC